TGTGTTGGTGCTATCGGAATCGTGAGATATGCATCTTGCAGATCGAGTTTCACCATCCAGTCTCCTGGGAGAAGGAGGTCTCGGAGGCAGTGTATGCCCTCCATTTTGAAATGCCGATATTGTATGAAGGCATTGAGGGGTCTCAGGTTGATAACCGGGTGGACACCCCCGCCTTTCTTCGGCACCAAGAACAGGTTGCTTATAAAACCTGGGGTATCTAGAGGGATTTCCTCTATGGCATTTTTGTTGTACAAGGTTTCTATCTCCGTGGAGATGAGGTCGTAGTGAGACTGTGGCATGTGTGGCACACGCGGGGGAGAAACCTGAAAGGGAAGACCCGTCAATTCTAGTTGGTAACCCTCTACAGTCTGCAGTACCCAACTGTCGGACGTGATCGTGGCCCAAGTTTGAGAAAACAAAGCCAGTCTGCCCCCCACATTTATATGGGAAAAATGGGGAAAAATCGTACACTCACCATAAGGGCGTTTTCCTGGGGTTGTTCCTCTGCCGCCACGGGCATTCCAAGATCTTCCTCGAGAAGGGAAGAACGGAGTGTAGGAACGTTCCTGGGTCTGTCTCTGTGTGTTGGAGGAGCCTCTGCCCGGTCTGGAGAAACCCCGGGGGTTGCGGCCGGATAGATGGCTCCTACCTCTACCGGCCCCACCGAAAACCTTTTGGTGGAAGACCCTCTTCATGGATGATTGGGCTTTATCCAGCGCCGTGAATGTTTTGACATAGGAGCCCAGGTCTTTGACGAAGGATTCGCCAAACAACAGACCCTTAGCCGCGGCCCCTGGTTCAGAGGAGGCCATACTAGCCAGCTTTGGTTCGATTTTCAGCAGGATGGCCTTCCTGCGTTCTGTTGACATGGCAGTATTGGCATTGCCGATCATGCAGACCAAGCGTTGGAGCCATCCAAACGCTACTTCAAAATCTATCGGTGCCTCACCCGACTGAGCTGCTTCCAGCAGTTCGTACAATTTAGTGACAGGACCCAGAGTGTTTAGGAACTTGTCCTGACAATTACGGAGGGAGTAGTCCAGTCCCCTCTTGGCCTTCCAGCCTGTTTTGGCTAGAAACTGGGCTATCTGAGGGTCCACTTCTGGGGTTTTTGCCACAGCATCAGGGATTATGGGTCGGGGGCACTCCGCTCTCAATTTATTACGGCTCTCTTGAGAAAGGGACTTGCGTACCCTGAGGGCTAGGTATCGGGCGATGTGTTCAGATGGTTCCCACTCGGCAGAGCGTGGGTGTCTTAGGTTGTCAGGGTCGAATAGCGTGACCTCTTTAGGGTCACGGGTTGCTTCTGTCTCGGGCGTCCCTGCATGAGCAGTGGTACGCGTTGCCGTCAAAGGGAACTGCTTTCCCTGGAGGCTTTCACCCTCTGAGAGCTCGTCCTCGTACGGGTCAGAGTACGGGGCATCAGACCCCTCATCCCCCTCCTCGTCTGAGTCAGACAGTATATCATGGGCTCTAGCCCTTTTCCAGTCTCTGGTAGCCGTAGCTCGCCCAGAAGCTCTATTGCGCGGTTGTTGCGCGCCATCATGGACAGCCTGAGGCATGTCAATCAGAGCAGGGTCAACCTGCATGGGAGGGGGTCTTGTGAATGTCTGCGTTTGGTTAGCGCTTTGTGCCCTGGTAGCCTCCCTTCAGGAGGGATATGGGTCAAGGCAGGGGTAGGGTGAGGTTGTACCTGTTTGAGCGCTTGCGTAATGGAGTCCGAGATGGTAGAGGACATTGCGCCCATGGCTGAAGATATGGCCTTGGAAATAGATTTGGACATGGTGGTGTCTAGAAGGGATTGGAATTCCTCAGAGCCCATGAGTCCAGGGTAGAGTTGAGTATCAAGATCAGTAGTGGCCATAGAGGGGCTATGTTTGCCAGGGCATTTATCACCAGATTGCATGGTGAGTAATAGAGTGCAAGTGAGAAAATAACAAATAGGAAAAAATAAAGTGAAAATGCAGTACTAGGATTGATTAACCCAGGTACAGGACGGAAAAAAGTACAGGGAGATGGAAGGTATTTCCAGGAAAATATGCAGAGAGAAATTAACTGTACCAGTAGGGGGGCTGCCGGAATGAAATCCGGTGAGGGAGGGGTCAAACGGCACTAAAAACCGAGAGATAACATGGCCGCCGCCTAAACCGGCGACCAGAAACCCAAAAAATGGCCGCCGCGAGCTACCGCGCATGCGCGGAGCATGCGAGCGGTGGGAAACTAGGTGAAAGTGGATCGCCGCGCGGACGAAAGTAGGTCCGGCCGGCGGTGTTGCAAATAGTGCCGGGAAATGCCGCGGGTTGACCGATGGGTCTCCCGGGCGAAAAACCGGCAGGTTGTGACCCCAACCGGAGGGAGGGGGCTGGGAGAGGGAAATAGTCTGAATCCTTAGGGACTAGAGTAGGGACCGGCCACAGTAAAATAAACACAGAATAATAAACACAGACAGTGTGAGAAAAAGAAGTGGGAAACAGAGAAAAGGAGGGATAAACTCCTTTTATCCTCCACAAGGATATAAATCCAATAGCTATAATATCTGCTGAAACATCCCACAGTGTATACATATAAATCAAATTATGAGAGTGTACTTATCTTCTGAGGGAGCAGCGAAGAAAGAGGAAGAAGCATGGAGTGCTACACCTTATATACTAAGGGGGTGGATACCTATGAGCACTGTTCCATATGCTAATGTTATTGTTATTTTTTTTCTCTCATTTGCATATATCTCTCTTCGCTGCTGAGGGAGAATTAAAGAAAGAGAAGCATAATAGGAGCCTCCGTGTCTTTAATAAAATCATATACAGATTAGTTGAGGAAAAAAAGAAATATCGGTATGAACCATAGAATTTGTGGCAACTACTAAATTATAAGGAGGCCAACCACGTCAGTACCTACATTCATAGATAAACATATTGTAAATAGTACAGATTGTGCCAAACAGTATAATCAAATTTATTAGAGACTGTTGTGCAACATATGTAAGAGATATATTATAGGCAAGATGGCAACCAGAGGCACATTATACATTGTGGCAACAGACACATAATAAGCAGGATAGTAGAAGATATTCAATTATCCTTATGAGAACAACAACCGCATACTTACCTTATCTTCAGATAGTGAAGAAGTACTTATGGCAGAGCCTATGCTGATAATAAGCAAGATATCAACACCAATCCAAACATGTAATCCACAAGTATTAAATCAATGCAATGTTAGGAGTGACCATAACTTATACAGATCTAGGTACAGAGACCCTGTAAAACATATCAGTCAAATATTTGTCATCAACAAGCTGCATTACATTACATTATGCAGGATGAATCAACCATTTAAAGTCACACATTGGTTGCAAATTCCAGGTATAAGGACACCTAGAAGAATCCCCATGAATATCAGAAGAGGTCCGTAATGGAACTACCTGTTTAGGGATTTCCTCTATTGTTCTGGTAGCAGGTGAATTTTACCTGAAATAGTAAACCTGGTAGAATGGTCTGGGGACTGGAAAGACCTTAAAATACTTGCAATACACAGCATCAAAAGTTACCTGGAGCATATGAGCCTAAAAGAATACCTTTATTGCAGAAAGGAAATTATAATGTTCCCCTTCACAACAGGGGAATCGGTCAGAAGTTTCTGATCATTAACTCCTTAAGAACCAAAAGCATGCCACTCCTGACATATACTAAAGGGATTGCCAAACTTTCAGGTCCCCAAGGGATAAAAGAGAATACTGAATATAAATGTTATGCTTTAAGGAAATGAATTCAGATTTAAAGAATAAAAGGTTATGACCAGGTGAAAGAAAAAACAATATTAACAGTTTTTAAAATCAGGTAATTGCTTCAGCATTACCTACTTATGAGATCAATAAATAGCCAAATTTGTGCTCCTGCAACCAGTATGATCTACTAAGCTGTGCATCAGTAATCAGCATATGTCTAAAGGTAAAACACTGCCACCAATTGAAAAACATTCCCTATCTTGAACAGAGGGGAGAGGATGCCTGGCAATAGAAAATTATTTGTAGATGGGTCTCATGTATAAATACATAGGAGTGCACACACACAAAAAAAAAACCCCAAACGATTATGTTAAACAGTACCATGCTTCATTTTGGAAAAACAGGTCTCCTTCTCTCCTGGGAGAGGCACTCAGACAGGTACGGTAACACCTGCAATCTATCTGAAGTGGTAAAATGTGTTAATTGCTTATCCTGAAACACCTGAGGGAGAAGGAATCTAATACAAAGCCAAAAGCAGTATGTTTCCTTATCTACTTCATTAAAAAACTGAAATAGAAAATCCACAGTAGGCAGTAGTTACTTACCCAGTACGCAGTAGTTACTTACCCAGTACAACAGTGCATTTGTATTTGCTAGAATTGGGCAGTGCTAAAATTCAGCGCAAAACAGACCTTAGATCATTTGTATATATTAAATCTACCAATGCCGTGTATAAATTGGGGTTATATAATACTACCAATCCTGCATACAGATTATAGGAATCACATACATTGTGGATGTTTCTAATAGCACCTTATGCACAGATATATCAGGTACATATCCTGAGTCTGTTTAAACAGTAATCATACATAGCCTACATCTGCTATATACAGTGACACTATGCCTGCACACATATTAAGATTATATGAGTGAGATAAATTGAGGCTGTGTTTTAACAGAACTTCATGCACATAATATACCACTCACATATACTGAGGTTGTGACCATAGGCGTGCGCAGCCTATTGCATTAGGGTGTGCACCCTAAAGCACAAACACACGCCGCGCGTGTGTGTGTGTGTGTATATATATATATATATATATATATATATATATACACACATATATATACATATATATACGTATATATATATTCACAGACACACACACTCACACTCACAGAAACACACACTCACTGACACACACACTCACAGACACACACTCACAGACTCACAGACACATACTCACACACTCACAGACACACACAGACACACACACTGACACATACTCACACATTCACTGACACACACACTCAGACACACACTGACACACTCACACACTCACACTGACACACACACACACTCACACACTCACAGACACATACTCACACACTCACAGACACATACTCACACACTCACAGACACACACTGACACACTCACTGACACACACACTCACAGACACACACACTGACACACACTCACAGACACTGACACATACTCACACACTCACACACTCACAGACACACACTGACACACTCACAGACACACACTGACACACTCACTGACACACACACTCACAGACACACACACTCACAGACACACACACACAGACACACACACATCACAGACACACACTCACACACACACACAAATTATTATATTTTAATTTTTTTTTTAAATGTCCACCCAGCCTCCTACCTGGAGTGCTGGTGGACTTGTCCCTGGGGTCCAGTGGGGGCGGGCGCCTCTCTGCAGGTCAGCGCGCGGCGAGGGAGCTCTCTGCTCTCTGCTCCTGCTCCCTCTCGCCGCGCGGGCTGTCTGCTGGAGCTGGGAGCCGGAATATGACGTCATATTCCGGCTCCCGGCATCAGCGCGCGGCGAGAGGAAGCAGAGAGCAGAGAGCAGAGAGCTCCCTCGCCGCGCGCTGACCTGCAAGGTGGGGGAGGTGGGGGGGAATCATCACCTCTTGCCCTCCCATGACAGGGGCAAGAGGTGAAACAGGGGGCACTGAGTGCCTGCAGGAACGCTGTTCCTGCAGGACTCAAACCATAGGCGTGCGCACGGGGATTAGGGTGTGCCCAGGCACACCCGGCACACCCCGTGCGCACGCCTATGGTTGTGACTCACAACCCACACATAGAACCAGTATTAGATTGGACTCATTTAGCGGATGTACTTATATCATTCACATATATTTTGCTTCCACTAATACATCAATCATATAGAGAACAGATACACTGAAGCAATGTCTCCACACCATCTTACCTATAGAGCATGTAGAGGACATGTACTGAGGCTGTGTTTTCACAGCGACTCAGAGCAAATAAAGAACACACACTGAGGCAGAGTCTCCAGATCAACTCATATATAGACAATATAGTGTATACATATACTGAGGCCGTGTCCTCATAGTAACTTATACATAGAGTATATAGTGGATACATATACTGAGGCCGTGTCCTCATAGTAACTTATACATAGAGTATATAGTGGATACATATACTGAGGCCGTGTCCTCATAGTAACTTATACATAGAGTATATAGTGGATACATATACTGAGGCCGTGTCCTCATAGTAACTTATATATAGAGTATATAGTGGATACATATACTGAGGCCGTGTCCTCATAGTAACTCATAACTAGAGCATATACTGGACACACACTGAGACTTCTTCCAATTCATACATTAGAGCATATAGTGGAAACATACCGATGCTGTACCACCACCAGTTCATGTACAGATACTGAGGCTCAGATAAGGAGGCTGCGATTTCCCTCTTCCTTTTTTCTTCTTTTTACCTAAATATTTTTATCTGACAAAGGAAGGATTAATTCCTTCCACAGAAGGAGGAGGAAGAACGTTGATGCTCAGGAGAACATAATTGTTACTAGAGAATGTATGGTAAAATAGGTCATGAATAAGGATTGACGTTGGATAATACTTTAAAGAGGGAGGGGAAGGGAGGGAGAAGATAGCATTCTCTTTTCTTGCTATTTCCCTTTCCCCTTTCCTTTTGTTTAGTTTTATTTTTTTCTCTTCTCTTGTGTCAATCTTATGTATTTTTATAAAACCAGAACAATGAGTGAGCGCTAGATAACACAGATTAGCAGCAACCCTATAAGGGAATCCCTCAAAAACCCTTAAAACAAAACACAGAAAGGTAAAAAATACAGAAAAAGGTTGCGCTTGGATAAAACTTTAAATAATACGAAAAGTCCAGATAAAATCAATGGATAAAAAGAGAGAGTCTTATCTGGCAATGTCCGTTGGAATCGTATTATGTAATGGTACTTGGTCCGAAACAGTAGTCTTGCTTGTTATCTTCCTTATGGACCGTCTCATATGCAAGAAATAAGAACAAATACAGAGCTGAAATAGTGTAGTATATCTGAATAAAAAGGAAGTTGAAATGTAATACTTGATTGCAAACTCACATTTAAAAGAGCTAGAACCCACTCTGGTATAGAGGGCGTACAGCGGTTTAGATCCCCGCTTGTAGGATATGGGATGAATTTCCTTCACGTACTTCCTCCTTCCGTAATATGAAAAGACACTCAAATAAAAAGAGACAGCCAATAGTGTTCTCTGTGTAAAACTTTGAATAAAATATGTGAAAATAAAAGTGGATACTCACAAGACAGGAGCAGGTCAACTGCTCCTGGTAGTTCGCGTTGGTGGTATAATCCCCACCTAGGATTGCTTGGAGTCCAGCGAATAAAAAGAGATAATGCCAGGTAACAATAATAAATATATGTGTATAAAAAGAAAAAATGGTATTAAAAAAGGTTACCAAATATACTTTAATATTTAAAATTACACAATATAAAAACCATAAACGCGTTTCGCCAATCGGCGTTATCAATATGGGTAAAGAACCTGATACCTGGCAGTGGATCCTTTAAATAGCATGTACAGACATTCAAAAATTGGCGCCAAAATTTGGGCAGCCAATCAGGATTCAAGTGAGAATACATATAGTTAAAATATAATTAAAACAAGTGTGGTATGATATATTTGAAACAAGATAAGAATAAATATTTGGGAAATCTAATTTTATATTAAAAACGAACTGTGCATAATGTAAAATAAATATGGTGATGCACGGTCACATGACCGGCATCACGACCTAAGGGGATTCTGGGACGTGTAGTATGACGCCGGCAGGCACTGCGCAGCCGCCGGCGTCATGAGAAGGGGCGGGCAGCTGGCGTCAGCTCGCATGGAGGATGCGGCTGATGCCAATGGGCGTAGAGATCGACGTCAGCACGCACGTGATGTGGCTGACGTCGGAAAAGGGGGCAGTGATATTGATGACGGCGGCTCGCACAGGACTGCGGCCGTCGTCATCAGGAAGGGAATACCAGGAAATAGACGACGGCTAACACAAAGCTGTAGCCGTTGTCATGGAGATGAAGTAAACAAGTCGGCACGCACAAGAGATGCAGCCGGCTAGGAGAATGTTAAAAAAAAAAGGAGAATGAATACAATAAAAAAATATATATAAATATATAAATACATAAAAATATATAAATATATATATGACTATATGATAAAAGTAAATACGATTTAACACCATGCCTGGTCCACTCATATAGTGAGAGCAGGCATGGTGACTAAAAAATGGATAATAGTAGAAAAAGGCAATGAATAGTAAAGGGTATAAAGTATAAATAATAGAGAGTAAAATATTAAATATAGTAAGAATGAACATTCGTTTATAAAAAATTAAACATATCAAATTCAACATTTAAACCATAAGGTGCAAGGGTTTGAAGCTTATAAACCCACTCCATTTCTTTTCTGCCTAAGATATTTTTAATATTACCGCCCGTCCATGGAACCGTACATTTTCCTATAGCAATACATTTCAAGATTTTAGGGTCTTTATTATGTATAATAAAATGTTTGGATACTGAGTGATTCAAGTATCCATTCTTAATGTTTCTGCAGTGTTCGCTCAAACGTATTTTTAGGCACCTTGTGGTCATTCCAACATATTGGAGGCCACAAGGGCATTCGAGCAGATATATCACATTTTTTGTGGAACAGTTAATAAAATAATTTATTTTGTAAACCTTATTTGTCCTTTTTGATACAAATTCTGTTACTTTAGAAGGAACATCAGGGTTAGTGGTTTTACACACAATACACATTTTACACTTACAGAAACCTTTAATCTGTGGGAAAAAAGATATGGGAGAGTTTTTTTTTTTAAACCTCTTGTAAAATTATTGGTTAATATAAATTTAAAATTTTGGTCACCCCTAAATATAATATTCGGACGTTCCGGTATAATTTTGTTTAATATTTCATCTTGTTTTAGAAGGTGCCAATGTTTTCTTATAACCTGTTTAACAGTGTTACTCTTATTATTAAAATTAAAAATAATCGGTAAGGGCATTTTTGTATCTGTAGTTTTAGGTTTATATTTTAGAAGTTCATTCCTATCTTTTTTTTGAATCTCCATAATGGTATTTTCTAATTCTAATTTTTGATAATTTTTTTCAACAAATTTATCTTTTAAAAGGTTTGCTTGTATATTGAAGTCTCTTAGTTCTGAACAGTTCCTCCTGAGTCTAAGTATTTGACTTTTTGGGGCGCTGTCTAGCCATGGTTGGTAGTGGCAACTATTCTTGTCAATAGCAGTATTGACACAAACCTTTTTAAAAAAAGTCTTTGTGTGTACCTTTCCATTTTTTATAAAAATATCGAGGTCTAAAAAATTAATTTGTTCTCTGCTATATTCGTAGGTGAGGATTATACCTCTGTTGTTCAGATTGAGATTGGTAATAAAAGAGTTAAGTGCTTCTTCAGTACCATCCCAAATGAAAAAAAGATCATCAATATATCTAAAAAAGGAGACCAGGTTTGCTCTCCACGCGTGATTACTAAAAATGGCTTCTGACTCCCAGTCAGCCATAAACAGGTTTGCATAGCTGGGAGCAAACCTGGTCCCCATGGCAGTGCCTCTTTTTTGAAGATAAAAAGAATTTAAAAACCAAAAATAGTTATTTTTTAAAATAATATTAATACCTTCTAAAATAAACTCTATTTAGTTAAAATATCTTTTACAGCTTGACAGCCTATATCATGAGGTATAATGGTATATAGTGACTGAACGTCGCATGTCACCAATATAAAACTAGATTTCCATATAAAATTGTTTAAAAAGTTTAAAAGAGCCATGGAATCTTGGAGGTATGATCTCATGAGTTTGACTGAAGGCTGTAAAAGGATATCTATATATTGGGAAAGATTACATAAAAGGGAACCTATCCCTGATACGATAGGTCTTCCGGGCGGTAAGGTTTCACTTTTGTGAATTTTCGGGAGAAAATATATTACAGGTGTTACAGGATATTGATTATTTAAAAAATTTAATTCTTGTTTATTTAAAATGCCTTGCTCCACACCTTTATTTAAAAATTCAGTAAAAATGTTTTGAATTTGTTTAATAGGATCTGATGTAAGTCTTTCATATACGTTAACATCTTTTAATTGTCTAAGTGCCTCATCTATGTACATTTGAGTTGATTGAATGACTATTCCTCCACCTTTGTCCGCTGGCTTAATGACAATATTTTCGTCATTTTGGAGTTCTTTTAAAGCCAGCTTTTCTGAATGAGTTAAGTTATGGGGGTCATATTTATTATTTTTTATTTTTTCTAGGTCTTTTGTGACTAGTTTTTCAAACATAGTGAGGGGGGCAGATTTAAAATGGGCAGGATAAAAAGTAGATTTCTTTCTGAGCGAAGTGTTAATAATATTGTCAATTCGAGAGGGTACTGGCGGGGTTTGGGTAGCATTTGGTTCAGTTTTTTCTATAAAAAATCTTTTAAGGGTAGCTTTTCGAACAAATTTGTTAACATCAATAAAAGCTTCAAAAGGTTTAAAAGTATTAGTAGGAGCAAACTTGAGACCTTTAGTTAAAACCGCTAGATGTGCACTGCTTAAAATTTTTTGTGAAAGATTAAAAATACCGCCACTAGTACCATTAAAAGAGGGTGTTATCTTTCTAGTCTTTCTCTTTTGTTCGCGTCTGCCACTTCTTCCTCTGAATTTAAAATCCTTTTTTTTGGACGTGAAGGGTGAGGTGTTTGGGCCAGTGTGGTGTGATTGGTTCGAATTTCTAAAAAATGGTCTTCATTTTCAAATTCGGAATCTAATGACAGTAGTTGAAATCTATCGGGATGATTCGGGATCGTGGGTGATTTGGAATAATTAAAATATGTTTCGGACCAAGTACCATTACATAATACGATTCCAACGGACATTGCCAGATAAGACTCTCTCTTTTTATCCATTGATTTTATCTGGACTTTTCGTATTATTTAAAGTTTTATCCAAGCGCAACCTTTTTCTGTATTTTTTACCTTTCTGTGTTATGTATTTTTATGTATGTTTGTATCTACGTATTTGTAAATGAAAAACTATAAAATTCTAAAAAAAAAAAAGGCAACACTCCTTTCTATGTATTTAGAGGAAATGTAGTAAATACAAGATTCTAAGATATGGAATTCTTTGAAATACAGAAGACACACTGTGTATGGCTAACTGAAAAGCATCATTAGGCCCTCATTTTAACATAGAAGTAACAGTCATGACATATTTTGCGGTTTTTGAACCCCAAATAGAAAGAATTGACCCACCTCCATACACATGTCATTGCTCAAATAGGCCCACTTAGCACTCAATTTGGGAAAGAAAAGCGTCATCTTCTGCCATTAAACCAAAATTTATATTGTCTTGCAGAGCCTTTCAGCTCCGAAGCAGCATCTGTGAATGAAGAACCGGTGACAGGAGATGGGATGCACAGTATACTAGGCAGGATTCAAAGGGACATGGAGCTGGTTAGAGAACAGATCCTAGCCATAAAGAAAGCGGAGCAGCTGGAAAATGACAATGCAGCTTTTCTGCGTGGCCTGGATAAACTTGTTTTCTACATCCATCTACTGCTTGCCACTTTATTTTATACAATGATCATCCTCAAATGGAGCCTGTGAGAGGTTTCCATGCACTATTTGAAAAAGCACAGTTCAAAGGAAATCTCTAACTGCGTGAAATAGATAAAATAAATCAACACAAATACAGATATACACATTTACACATTTATAAAGCGTGATTAATATTTGCACACATTTAGGCATGCAGCTACTGCTATGACGCGGATGCCCCAATTTCTGTGTGAAAACTAGGTTGAAGCCCCCTTTTCCCAGTATGTGTAGCAGAATTAACAAGTGGTGGTCCTGGCAATATATATTTTGCAGTGCATGTAATGAATTCTAACATCGGCTTTAGGTACCCCAACGGCAGTCCTCGAGCTGTTTTGCATATATAACAAGTATCAGGTAACAAGTGGGGTAATCGCTAAGCAATGCACAAATTTTAGGTATATTTATAAGATAGACATCTGATTTTATGTAGCTTGAGTTATCGTGGGGTAGGGGAAACATTCGGTACCTTGCGGATGCTGCATGTGTGTGTGCGTGTTTTGGAGAGTATATGGATTAGGGTCACATACGCTTTGTATATATTGGGTGCCTTTGGGACTGCTAGGCATGGGCAGTGGGGTAGACCTCCTGGGGAATATGTGGTGCATGTGGTTCGTTTTTGCTGCAGGCTATGTGATACAATATAGCCATGTATGTTGGGTCTGGCTGGGTGTTGTAATGGTGAGTTTCATCTATGGGGCTGACTATTGGCTCGGGCAGCGCTGTGTCTTATTGACTGCGTGGTAGGGACCTTTAGGGTCCGGCTAGTTAGGGCGTTAAGGGTCAATAGTATGTTATATTTAGGGTGTTGGGACATGTCGTGGAGCATATCAACTGTACATCGCTTTAAAAGCCAAATTGAACGAGAATATCAAGTTATTTATAAAGGGTTGGGTGTTGCACTGGGCGTTAAAGTCCTGCACTGCACGGCTAGCAGCCGTAGCAGGGGGCCTGCAAACCTTCATCTGATGCCACTGTTGTGTTTCAATAGGTAGTCCTTTGTATTTGGCAATATATATTTTTTAACAAAATGGTTGACCCCTCAGTTAGCACCAGGGGAGCATTTGTTCTGCTGCTCCCTGGACTGGCCACTGAACATACTATGTTAAAGAAAAATGGCATGGACTGTACTTTGAAGAAGGCAAAACTATTATGAACATCTCTCAAATAGGTTTTTGTATGATTAAATGTATATTTTAAGATGAATGTTAATAGCGGATACACCATTTATTCTTCCTGGCCAGTGAGGACACAAAGGTGAAGTCCTGCTGTTGGGAATAATCACATTATGCACGGTTACTCCACGACACTTAAAGGACCACTATAGTGCCAGGAAAACATACTAGTTTTCCTGGCACTATAGTGCCCTAAGGGTACCCCCTCCCGCCGGGCTGGATGGCAAGGAAAGGGGTTAAACTTACCTTTTTTCCAGCGCCGGGCGGGGAGCTCTCCTCCTCCTCTCCGCCCCTTCGGCTGAATGCGCACGCGCGGCAGGAGCTGCGCGCGCATTCAGCCGGTCTCATAGGAAAGCATTCACAATGCTTTCCTATGGACGCTGGCGTCTTCTCACTGTGATTTTCACAGTGAGAAGCACGCAAACGCCTCTAGCGGCTGTCAGTGAGGATTTGGAGGCTGGATTAACCCATTTATAAACATAGCAGTTTCTCTGAAACTGCTATGTTTATTAAAAAAAAAAAGGGTTAACCCTAGCTGGACCTGGCACCAAGACCACTTCATTAAGCTGAAGTGGTCTGGGTGCCTAGAATGGTCCTTTAAGAATTTTAAAGACAACACTCTACAAACTGAGCACTGTCTCATAGTATTCACTAGATATTTTTAATGTTAAAATACATATTTCCAAATGTATCTTATGTTGGATGTTACCTTGAATGAGTACATTGTCTCCCAGTGTAGCCCATACTATTAAAGCATTATATTTCATATTCCTTAGAATGTAAGCTTGTTGAAGCAGGACTTCACAGCGCCTTCTGATCCTGTTCTTCTAATTTGTCTTGTTTCAAATACTGGTTAACCCACCCATTGCACTGTACTGTGGAATATATTGGTGATTTATAAATAATGTCAATATTTTGTGTGAAGTTTGTAAAAGTCACAGTGTGTACCTTGTGTTAGGAGGGGTTATTTAATGTAATTCTTTGTAGACCTAACCAAATAGTTTGCCTTAGAAGGACAACCAGTGGCACCAGAACAACTACAGATTAATGTATTTCTTCTGGTGAGTAGAATCCAACAGTAGTACAAAGACCTATTTTAAAATGTCTACTTCAAAATTAGAACATGATTTGCCCTAGTCTAGTCCCTTGCTTTTAATCCCAATTCTACGTAACCAGTTATTTCTACCAGGACTGATACCCTGGGATTTTATGGGCTAGGTCGGAGAATTTAGGTATTCAGAGCTACCTAAATTTGTGGAAGGATTACCATGTTTCAGGAATGAAAGGTAGGTACATACAAGTACGTAATTTTACCCAAGCTAAAGGAATTCAGAAAGCAACAGAAATGAACGTCTTTGATGAAGTGTGCTTGAGGGTGAATACCAGAAGAGCTTAATCACCCTTACCTACAACCATATTTGTCCCCACTCCACTAGATGGCATACAATTTCCATTTCAGTTGCAAAAATATTTGTGCATGTATAACAGAAGTAAATCCTACCATTACCCAGTGTAACCTCTCGGAAATCATGGGTGGTAGACACTCTCCCACTCTGAAAAGAAATGCCCAACTAGCAGCTGACTAATTATTACAATAGCCTACATGCATAAACTACAGCCCTCACATAGGTCTCTGTCATTATAAGTATAACCCCAAGAATAATTACTTTGTGAAAACGAGAAATTTGCTACTGGATGCAATGAGACTCAATGATGGATACCCCAGACTTTTACTTCTTCAAGGAAGGTATTTTGGAAGATCTTAGTGGATACACCCCACAGACGGTCAAATAATCAATAAACATGCTGACTGGTTCATTAAAAAAAAAAAAAAAAAGAGACACAGACCACCCCAGCACTCCTGATGATACCGACAACAGCCACCAGGTGCAGATTGATGTGTCTCCTAAACCAGGAGGCTCTTAGACTTAAACTTCCAATAACAGCCAATGGTTTGGGGTATATTTGTTTCATTTTCTTTTGGTTGTCCCCTGCTGGGCGCCCCTACTCTGTCCCTTCATATGGAGGTGCACAGGGGGGGATTTACTGATTTATTTACAAAGCTAGCTTATTACATGAGTTTCGGGCTTACAACATGGAGGGAACATGTGCCGGCTGACAAATACATAGTGATGAGTTTTTGGCTAATTTTCTGATTATAATAGGGGCCAACAGGCACCCTCCCTGCTGCCCAATTACAGCTTTATTGGCTCTCTGGATGCTCAATAGACCTCCCAGAACTGTACCGAAAAAGTACTCTTTGCTCGATTGCAATGTTTAATTTAATGGTTTAGTAACTACATCTACTGGCTAATTGGGAACATTGCTGTCCACATATTTGAAACAAGTTACTTTTGAGAGAGCCTGTGTATCTTTACTACTTTCACTCCTATACATGTAGTGTATACATCGGGAGCAACCAATTTGTTTCAGATTTTGTCGTTTCATTTGAATATTATCACTAGCATAATTAACCTTAATTGTGCACCATTGTTTTTTTAATCTTTAATTTGTAAACTAGTGTCTCACTACCACATCTTTTCTATTTTGGACTCTGAAAAGAAAACTAGCAATACTAGTTTGACTTCCACACAAATTTTCCCCCCACTATCCAAAGGCAAGACATAAAATAGCTGTTTTTTTAAATTGGCATGTCTAAAATGACCCCTTGTCTGCCCTGTTTTTCTTTTAAAATTATTGTTATTTGCAAATTATCCTTATGTATAATGTGAAGGTTGACAAAGGGTGTGTCTTGAACAAAGCTCAGCTTTATCATTGGATGTCTTATTCCATACTCGCCTCCCTCCAGCTTCACGTCACTTCTGGTCGTGGCGTGTCATGGATCCTGTTTGTGGACCCTCGTGTACACTCCCAAGGAAGCACAGAAGATTTTCCAGGCACCACTATCTTATACACTTTAACATGGCAGTGCTGTCAAAGAAGATCTGATGGGCATAGCACAACAACAATAAAATGTAATTGCACCAACCCAAAAACTGTTAGGGGAGGGTGTTATGCTAGAGGAAGGATCTGGGGGCCAAGGGAAATATTTACTGAGAGAGCCACTTTAAATGTTACCATTTCAGGAGATATACCCTTATTTTTACATGCTTGTTTGAAATCTTTTCTGTTGCTACAGTCGCAAACTTAAGAAGACCCATTTCCACCAGTTTTTAAAAAGTAGTTTATATGTTTGTAGGTATAGAACCAGGATTAAAATTTAATTTTCAGGTCTGTACATCCTGAAACAGTTCCCAAACCATAGGGGTCACTATATTCTCTAAATAATTCCAAAATGTTTTCTCTCTAGCATTTAATAAATGCATATTGTAAATTTAGGTGTGAGGCAACATTTTGTCTTTACTTGTGCACAAATGAGTATCAGCTGCTACGAATTAATCAAATGTCTTTTAATCTGCACCTGAACGAATCAACCATGCAAGAATTACTTATTCAACAAATGGCAACTGCATTGTCTTCTACAGGAGGAGAAAAGTCGCAGAACATAGCAGGACCCAGGTAGAGGGCAAAACGTTAATAATTTGTTGCATTATCTGGGAACTGGGACCTCGGCACTCCCGATTGCAGTGGTTATGATGATTGGAATAACTATTTAAGGGACATTTTTAAATAATGTACTAGTATCCACCTGGATGTTAATGGTTAAAGCAGGGTATAAATAATCTGAAATACATGATTTGATACTGGATTTTAAGGATTGCATCACAGGTCATTGGATCAAATGAACCAAATATCCTCTTTAATTTGGTTCATAAAGAGTTTGTGATAGCATTGAATGTTCCAGCCTATTTTGTGCACTGGCAGCTCTATACATTTTTGTTAATAATTAATAAAAGACATTTCACTCTTAAAGTCCAGACTTTGAAGTAGCTCAAAACAAGTTTATATTGTAATGAAGATAAGAAAACTGTACTGACAGGAACTTCAGGCTTACCACAAGAATACAGAGGAAAATACTAGATTTTATTTAGTCGTTAAGGGGGGGACTCTCAATGTTTTACAAATCACTAATTGGCCTGTGTGGCCAGTACGCATGTTTTTCTTTGTCCAGTTTGGTTTCTGGGAATGCTTCGTTTACGTCTTCAATGGTCATCTGGTCAAAGGGGATCATGTTTCGGAATTTCTCTAACTGAGGATTAAATGAAAAAATATCATCAGACAATGGAAATGATATAAAACCAGAATACAAATCCAGTGTATGTTTCAATATTTATTTTAATTTTTTTTACCATAAATAAAAAATAAAAAAAATATTACACACACACTTTTTATTGGACGAACAGAATTTTTTTTAATGACAAGCTTTCGGGAGAACCTCCCTTTCTCAAGGCCATTTTGGCCTTCAGACAACCACCAAACCTCCAACAAAAATTAATCAACAGGAACCTACCCACTGATAGGGAGAATAAAGAAAACCAGGGACCAGCCAATGCAAAAAACTTCGCTGCAAACTGTGCCAGCACATATGCACAGACAACACAGCCACACACAACAATAGAACCTACAGCATTAAAGGTTTATACTCCTGCACATCCAGCAATGTGGCATACATGATTTAATGCAGTAAATGCCACCAAGGATGCTACATTGGGGAGACCACACAGCAATTAAATTGCAGAATGAATATGCACAGACACTCCTTTAAACACCACAAAGAAGAATCATACTGTGGGACCCCACTTTACCCAGCCTGGCAACTCAATGAAGGACCTAAAAATCAAAGTACTGAAAGGGGGTTTTAAAAATACCCAAGAAAGAAAAGCCTTTGAAGCCAGAAGGATCAAATTGTTTAACAGCAAGAATAGAGGACTAAATATTGATTTGGGTTTCCTGACCCACTACCAACAACTGAACGCTTCCCCACATTATCATACTGTTCTGTCATATGTATCAACACTTTAAAACACATTCCAATTATATGTTTATTCTATCAATATACAAAGTACTGTGCATATGCTTTCCCATGTATGCTTATATATGTGACTGTGCATTTATATTTGTGTATGTATGTATAGGATGAATACATGTATGTGTATGTGAATAGGTGTATGTGTACATCTACATATATATGGGCCTATGTATGTGTAGGCACACTTGTATGTATACTTGTACATATACACTACTTGTGTATGTATAATGGATATAGGCCTTCATGCATATCCTGTAACTCTTGGATTGGAATCCATGCATTCTTAATATAAGTAATTGTTTTTACTCTCTCCTTCTAGCACCAACTTCTGCAGTCGTAAATATCTCACAAGATATTTACGACCCTCCTCAAGAATGGGGTCTATTTTCTATCAAACCTGCGTCTTATCTCCACTCATGTCGCTTTAACCCCTGTATCACAACTCAACTTTAAATTCTATGTGTCGTCTTACTTAGAAATGCTTTAGACTTATAACTGTTGAAATATCAAATACTGCAACACAATGTTATACCTATCTACAAACCAGCTTCGGAACCCTCTCTCGGACTCGAGACCGAAGTCTTACAGCAACAGCGAAGGACAGCACCAGTCACGGAACTAAAACTCTATAACTGCCTTTCCTTTAGGACTGTTTTGTAACGCATCAATGCAACTCACGGTCTCTATGAAAGTATGTTTGATCCCAAGTTTTCTTTTCTGTACCCTAACCCCCATATGACTGAAAATCCAAAATAAAGAATTTATAAAAAAGAAATGCTTTAGACTTTAGAAAGGGAGGTTCTGCCGAAAGCTTGTCATTAAATAATTCTGTTAGTCCAATAAAAAAGGTATTACAAGATACAAATTTTCAGTTTTTTACATCTACATCACTGGACTAATACGGCTACAATCTCTACTTGAACATTATATATGTATACACATATACACACACACCAAAAATCTTGCACTGAATGACAATACTATAGCCCAGTGCAAAGTGGTTTTGTCGTCTGACGCTGGACATCCTGATACATGAGGACATCCAGAGTCAGTTAAATCCCCATAGGAAAGCATTGAAGCAATGTTTTCCTATGGGGAGGGCCTAATGTGCTCGCAAAGCTCACAGAGCATGCATATTAGCCCACAACGTCAGATGACAGCAGATGAGGCAGAGCGCCAAGAGACATCTGTGCTGGAATAAGGTAAGGATTTTCATTAATATATACACACACACTCTATCTACTTTTTGAGATTTGTATGCCTTTATTATTGATATCTATGGTCATGATATGCATGCTCCAACTGTCGATAGAGATATAGATGTATGTATGTATGTATGTATTAGTGGTCAATGTACACAGTTTGATTACAATTATGTATTTATGAACACATGTATTATATTTTTAATTATGATGCCTATTAAGGAAATATAAATTGACCAATGCTCATTCAACATACTGGTTTCACATTTATTCATTTACATACATGCATACATTAACATTTATAGCATCCATGTATATTTATGATTGATTTTTTTTCCTATACTCAATTTTACAAATTTGTTCTTATATTTGTTTTAATTTGATCCTATTTTTACTCTCCTTTCTTTTCACTCCCTTTTTCCCCCACCAGTCCTATTTATATTTCGCTTGAGTGAGTAGTATTTTAATGTTAGGGGTTAGCTGGGGGGTAGGCAGGTTTGTACACACGGTCTGCATTGATTTGAATGCTCTGGTTCGTAGAGCGTTCATATTGCGGCTGTGTAGAGGATCAATAAAGTTATCCTGCGTTCCAGCGTGGTCGCGGTCACGCGTGCGTCATGACGTATAATGGCGTGTGTGACTGGGCGCACGCATGCGTGATCACGGAAGCTGTCGGATGGATCGGCAGATTTAAAAGGGGAGAAGACTGAAGAGAGAAGAAGCTCCTGAGGAAGTCAGACGACGAAACGCGTTGAGCACGATCTGGGACCCTGTACTTTGGTATCAGCTGTTTTTATCTTGCATGTGTGCTGATTTTATATACTGCTTATGCAGTATTTACTTTGGGCTGATTGTACTAAACTTGTATAAGTGATTGGCTTAGTGCACTTTTCTTATAGGCATCTTGCACTTTACTGCCCAGCTCAGTATCATGTCCTGTTAAACTGCTATACCTAAGGGTTCCTTGCCCATTGTGGCTTTTATACTCTTGATGTCTTACACATATGTTGTGCTGTGACTGTTTTTTTTATATTTTTCATTAATAAACTTTTGCTGTTTTTGCTTTACCATCAATATTTATTTTCATACCCTTATTTTTTATATACCAATATAGTGATTGTGGCGCCCTGTTCTTTCTAGGGTTATGCTCCAGCCAAACCTCATATCTCCACCTATGACCTGATTCGCCTACCCCGGATTCTTGCCTGCAGGACTTTTTCAAGGCTTCCCCTTCCTAATGGAATGCCCTCACTCCCAAATTAGACTCTCCCAGGCTCTGCAGCCCTTCAAAAACACTTCTTTAGAGAAGCCCATAAGCTTACCCCTAGACTCCTTATCCTTTACGACCTTCCTCTGCCATCTCCCATCACTGTGCTCCAGTCTCCTAAGCACCCCTCCCATCCTTTCTGGTATATACATATCATTTGATTCTCTCACTTCATATTTGTCCCTCATCTATTTGGATTGTAAGCTCATTTAGGTAAGGGCCCTCTTCACCTGTTTCCGTACGTCAAACACATTTGTCAGAATAAATTGTCTTGTTTATCTATTGTACAGTGCTGTGGAAAATGCTTGCCCAATATGAATAATTGCAATACGTGACAGTAAAGAATAATGTAGTGCTATTTTAATTTCTCACCTCCTTCTCATATTGAGAAACCCTAGCTTTTGATTCCTGGATGTAGTTTGCAGCAATTTTTGCCTAAAAAAACAACACAAAAAAAAAACAAGTTAGAAACATGAAAGTACTTACACGTTTTACTTAAAAGAAAAGTGACAGAAGAATATCGCTGACCTTAAAGGGACACTCCAGACCCCTAAAGTATACGTGCATGAAAATGCAGAAATTGACACTTATATAAATGAACCTTGATACCACTCTGGCTGTCAATAAGACAACCAGTCCTGTTACATCCTGGTTTTTAGCTCAGTGGAACTAAACAGGCAGCCAATTGCTTGCAAAGACTTCTCAATGAGCAGCATTAGGAAGTCTGTGATTGGACAGCCACAGAAAGTCTAGGCGGAGTTAGAAGGGGAAGGCTTTTTTATGACTTCAGACAAAAGATCCACAGCTTTTGCATGTAGTTTAAGATATACCACCAATGAACAATACAGAATTAAATGCATGAATGTTTTCATTGGAGGGGATATCTACCAATCAGTGATAAAAATAAAATGTGGGCAGAGGAGTGTTTAAAACATACAACAAATGCAATTCACTACAACACAGCAAATCAAAATGTACAACGAGCTTACAGATTCCTGCTCCTGAGCATTTATCTTCTCCGTCTGGGTATCCTTCGGCTCTGGGATGCTAAGAGCACCGAACTGCAAGACAAGAAAACACATTAACGTAGAACACCCTTTAGAAGCCAAGTTCCAAAACCTAGGATAATGTAGGATTCACATAACTCACAATGCAACTCAATGTTCTTCACAGTGTGTGGTCAAAATCAGGATGTGGAAATTGGCAGACATCATTTTACATCTATCGACTTTAAAGCAGATCACACTTGCTTTTGTTGTCATCAGAATACATTTTATTTTGGGGAAATTCATAGATCATGCACGTCCCACTACTAAAAACAGCCATATTTGTATTCTTCCACTGTTCAAGTACAATGATACCCCACATGCATACCTTTTTCCCTAATCCAACCTTTCAAGGGATTGCTCAGCCATGGTATTTAAAGGGCTATGAGCAGCGCTCACTTTGAGGTCAGCCAATAACAAAATTGTCTCATAATGGATTGTGGGGAAAATGTAGAACTGATGAGGCGGCATGTTTGATTGGACACTTATACAACATAACCACTACAGCTCAGTGTACTGAATATGTTAGCTAGAGTATTTGGGTGCCATTCCTCGGTTTTATGTCAAACTGTTTAGAAATGGCACCGGGAGACCACACCATCTTCAGCCACATTTATAATGTGGAATTAAAGGGACACTGTAGGCACCAAGACCACTTCAATTAATTGAAGTAGACTGGGTGCTGTGACCTTTTTGCACTTAGTGCTGCAATGTTAAAGACAGACAGCCACTAGAGGGCTTCCGGAATCCAAACTGACTTTTGGTCCGTTATTTGACGCTGGACGTCCCCACGGACCTCCAGCGCCAGATATTGCCCATAGGAATGCTTTCCTATGGGGAGGGCTAATGCGAGCGCGGCTATTGCTGCGTATGCGCAGTAGGTTTCCCCCGCTGGAATCAGGGTTTTAACCTTCAGCCCAGCAGAAGGGGGCCATTCCAGAAGCCTATAGTGCCAGGAAAACGGGTTTGTTTTCCTGGCACTATAGGATCTCTTTAACCCCTTAAGACCGGAGGGCATACTATTACGCCCTATTTTAGGCGGCTCTAAACGCCGCCAGGCGTAATAGTACGCCCGCCGGTCTTTCTTTACTCACCCGGTCGCCGGCGATCGCGGTTGGGGGGACTCCCAGGGAGCCCCCCGCGGCACGTCCAACCTACTGGCAGCCCCCCCGGCCATGTGAGAGTGAGGTCCTTGCAAGGACCTCACAATCACATGGCCAGGATAGCTGCCTGCTGTATTGCCAGCAGGGGGGCTGCCTGTAATGACAGGTGGACTCCCTGCTGGCTGGAAATAAAATTAAACAAAATTAAAAAAAGTTAAAAAGTGCATATATATATATATATATATATATATATATATATATATATATATATATATATATATATATATATATATATATATACACACACATACACACACATACACACACATACACACACATACACACACACACACACACACACACTGTCTAGGTGTATTTTACTATTTATATATATTTTAATATCAAATTACACGTAGACTGATATTGATTAAATATATATAATTATTGTTATATATATTTATATATAATATAAAAAAAATATGTAAATACGTTAAAAAATAAAATTAAATAATTTAAAAAAATAATTAAATATATAGATGTGTGTTATTTCGTTCTAACTATTGTATACACACACAAACATACATATATTAATTCTACATATATACTTGTGTAGTATTTTTACATAATTAGGTATCTTAATTAATTACAATTAGCGGGACCTGCCTGACAACCCATGCCGAAAGTAAAGGGAATTTAATTTGCTAGCACTATATTTAACCCTATAACTTTCCAAGACACCATAAAACCTGTACATGGGGGGTACTGTTCTACTCGGGAGACTTCGCTGAACACAATTATTAGTGTTTCAAAACAGTAAAATGTATTACAACGATGATAACGCCAGTAAAAGTGAAGTTTTTGCATTTTTCACGCACAAACAGCACTTACACGGACGATATTATTGCTGCGATACTTTTTACTGTTTTGAAACACAAATATTTGTGTTCAGCTAAGTCTCCCGAGTAGAACAGTACCCGTCATGTACAGGTTTTATGGTGTTTTCAAAAGTTACAGCGTCAAATATAAGACTTATGTTTTATTTTTTTCACATTAACATTTGCCAGATTGGTTAGGTTGCCTTTGAAAACCTATGGTAGCCCAAGAATGAAAACTACCCCTATGATGGCATACCATTTGCAAAAGAAGACAACCCAAGGTATTGCAAACGGGGTATGTGCAGTCTTTTTTAGTAGCCACTTAGTCACAAACACTGGCCAAAATTGGCGTTTTTTTGCATTTTTCACACACAAATACGAACGCTAACTTTGGCAAGTGTTTGTGACCAAATGGCTACTAAAAAAGACTGGACATACCCCATTTGCAATACCATGTGTTATCTACTATTGCAAATGATATGTCATTATGGGTGTAAATTTCATTCCTGGGCTACTATAAAGTCTCAAATGCAACGTAACCAATCTGGCGAATTTCAACTTCAAATGTAACGTGCTATATTTGACCCTGTAACTTCCCAAAACGCCATAAAACCTGTACATAGGGGGTACTGTTTTACACGTGAGACTTTGCTGAATACAAATATGTGTATTTTATTGCAGTAGAAGCAAACAGTATTATGACAGTTAAAATGTCATGTAGAACTAAAAAAAAAATACAAAAAAAAATCGTATTTTCTCCCATTTGTTTCATATTAAATTATGTTTCATAGCTAAATATTTGATATTAAATGAAAGCCCTGTTTCCCCTGAATAAAATGATATATAATAAGGGTGGGTGTATTTAATATGAAAGAGGTGAATTACAGTTGGACAGACATGTAGCGGAAATGCCAGGTTTTGTTTACATTTTGTTTCGTTCACAATGTGTACATTTGGCTCAGTCCGTAAGGGGTTAACAATGTCAATTTCAACCAACCGTTATGGTATGGTAGTTACTGAGTCAGAGTCCTGAGGAGGCAGCATTTTTTGGTGTTGCTTTACAAATTGTATTCCAACAGTATTTCAGTATTCCAATTTCTGACCAGTCGTCTCTTGGCAAAGAGGATATATCAAGGGAGCATCGAAAATTATTAACTCCAATCAATATAACCAAGCCAAGCTTGACACCAGATTAGAAAGAAAAAGTGAATAGGGAAAATGACTCAATCGAAATAGGGTAGTAAGAAAAAGATGCAACAAAAAGTGTGGCCTCTGGTAGGAAAAACTCAGTTAACTTGTTTGTACATTTGGTCAATCATGGGTAAATGCAGTTTTAACATTTTAGAAACAGGTGTTCATTAACCAGTTTATGTTCTATATAAATCCAAAAATAAAAAAATTAGTTGCTTGACTCATCAGCTTAATTAATGGAAACACAGGAGTATTCTTCCAGGTTGGCAAAGAGTTCCACTTGTGCATAGTACTTGTAGGAGATTCCTATGTACATTGCCCCGGGATTGACTGGATTCCAACCAATCACATACCACGTCATGTTTATCAGTCTAGTTAGGCTTGTGGAGTTTTCGAGAATACCCACGGTGTTAACTTTCAGTTATTCATGGAGAATTACCATGACTTGGGTTGCGCATACTCAAACATTTTAGTAAGTACAGCCAAAGCTTTGAAAAGGTTATGATATCAAAACGTATTCTTCCCTACCTTGAGGAAAAAAAAAAACAAAAAAAACAAAAAAAACTTTTTTCGTGATATACAATCATAACTCCAGGTCACGATTTTGACTTTACACATACCTTTTTCTCAAATTCGTCCACCATGCCTGCCTTGGCAATTGCAGCACGATAGTGTGCCCAGTCAATGGTTGGAGGCTTCTCTGGAAGGGATGTTAGCCTGCAGGAACAAAGTGACAGAATTAATATGATTGAGTCTTTCTTGCTACAGATTGTCCATTTATATAAGTTTCTCCTTTTTGCTACATTTTGTAGAGTCACTACCACATATTTAAGTGAGATTCTTAAAAAATAAAAAACATTGTGTTTTATATAATTAAAACAGCAAACATCTAAATATATATTTTATAAGAAGATGCTGATTCCAATCAAGCAATTATTTTACGATAGGTCCACTTTAATTGCATGTCACCTAACATTCAGAAACCCCAGCATGTAAGGATCACACAACCCACCACAGCCCAAACTCACTTGGCAGCTATAGCATCACTGCGGGTCTTGAGGGCATTGAACATTGCCTTTTGATTTGGGGGTACCCTCTCTGCAAATGCCATCCAGTCTACAGCTTTAACAGCAAATCTACGTCCAGCCATGGTTACGTTCTGAAAAATAAAATAAATAAATACAAATACTGTGGAAAGAGCACTGAGTAAACAGTACAAGGGCATCAAAATGGCTAATTACAAAGGTTAGCAAAAGTCATGACACTAAAAAGTATCCTCATTATACCACTGCCACAAAACAAGATCACAATATAGCAAATAATAAACAGAGAGAATGAGGAGTTGGCACATTTTTTCTCAACAGCATCGCTAGAGAATCAATAGACCACTGTTAGCTCCAGATAAATGTGCTTAAAGGAACATGCCAAGCCTCTAAAAGCACTTGAGCTGGTTTCCTCTCTCTTACTTTAGAGGGACAATCTAAGCAACAAAACATCTTTAGCTTAAAGGACCACTATAGTGTCAGGAAAACAAACTCGTTTTCCTGGCACTATAGTGCCCTTGGGGTGCCCTCACCCTCATGGTCCCCCTCCCGCCGGGCTGAAGGGGGAGGAACGGGTTAAACTTATCTCCAGCACCGGGCTCCCTCGGCGCTGGGGACTCTCCTCCTCCTTCAGTCGTCATCGGCTGAATGCGCATGCACGGCAAGAGCCACGCGTGCATTCAGTAAGTCCATAGGAAAGCATTCTCAATGCTTTCCTATGGACCCTGGCGTCGTCTCACCGTGAAAAACACAGTGAGAAGCGCGGAAACGCCTCTAGCGGCTGTCAATGAGAGAGCCACTAGAGGCTGGATTAACCCATATGTAAACATAGCCGTTTCTCTGAAACGGCTATGTTTACAGCAGGCAGGGTTAATCCTAGATAGACACGGCACCCAGACCACTTCATTAAGCTGAAGTGGTCTGGGTGCATATAGTGGTCCTTTAACAATGAGGTTTTAGTGTAAAGATCATGCCCCGGCAGTCTAACTTTTCAATTCTCTGACATTTAGGAGATAAATCACTTTGCTCCAGCAGCCCTAGTCACCTCTCCCTTGGCTTAAACTCACACAGCCTCCTTATTTATTGCACAGTGTGTTTAATGTAGAGGTATTTAACTTCTGCACTGTTAATAGTCTGCTAGAGCCTTCTGTGTGTGTTTAAAGTTAAAGTAAAAAAAGCAGTAGATAGGAACTTCTAAAGTTAACAAATTGTGCTGTAAGATCTGATTAAAAAGTAAAACTATTTGCCGACTGGCAGCAAATTTACACAAAATAAATGAGATATCTTTCTCAGAATGCTCTGATTGGTTGGCTTACAAGCCAACTAATCAGAGTGCTCTAACTGAAATTAATCAGAGTGAAAAAGCCCCTGTAAGATCTTTTCCCGCCCTACAACCTCAGTCTGAGCCAAGCCCTTCAAGGGCGAAGATGGATAATTTTATTGCATCACATTTATTTTCCATCATTTTTTTTTGGGTGGTGGTGGGGGATGATTATGTTTTTCATTTTTAATTTTAACAATAGCGACAGTACTTCAGGGATTTTCATTTGGCTTTTTTGGGGGGCTAAAAAAAAAAAAAAAAGATTTAAGAATAAAGAAGACATCCTAGTAAGTATAATTTCTTTTTTTGTACACAGGTATTATTCCCCCCACCCCACATTATTAGGGTGAGGGGGTATGTGGGTTATTTGTTTCAGGGTTTTTTGTAACCCCTAGACACCTGCGGTGGGGTTCATCGTGATTATAGACACTGAATGACCATGCTGCACACTCTGCAGCACGGAGATAAAAAACACCTCTAGTGGTTGTCTGAGTGACTGCCACTAGTGGTGTTCCTAGGGAGAAATGAAAACACTGCCTTTTCTATGAAAATTCCAGTACTCAGACTGCAGGGACATGCTACAGACACCAGAACTACTACATTAAGCTGTAGTGGCTCTGGTGACAATAGTGTCCCATTAATCTGCTGTATAGAGCACTGAAAATCAGTGCTGAATGCAGTTCATCAAAAAGTCTGGTGCCATAAAAAATGGCCCCAGATATTGATTGATTTAATCCTGCACACAATATATTGCTCTCTATGGGGATTTAAATCCACAATGAAAGTGCTGGGCTCACCTGTCAGTCTGTGGCCACTAAAGATAGCCCGATCTGACAGAGGGATCCCCAGGTACGAACTGATACCAAGATCTCCCTGCAGTGAATCCTGCTTTTGTTATAGGCATTTAAAATGCATTTTTATGGAGCTGCATTCCACTCTGACTGGGGGCCACTAAGAATGGCAGCATATGGCAAAGGGGAGACCCAGTTGTCAATTGATACTTGGGACTCACTGGTGTAAGCAGGGTTTTGCCCTTGCTCGCATAGCAATGACGGAATAATTATATCATGTATCGCTAGTGGTGTAAAACACAACATGAAAAAATTATCATGGAATTATATATTTTTTTTCTTGAGTATCACATGTTGTGGTCATTTAGACGATTCTCACTTTAAGAAAACCCTGGTTCTAGATACAGTAATCCATGATCTGCTGGTCCCCTCTCTCCCACCTTAATCAAATAAAAAACATGAAAAATACATACTCCTATGCAAAGTTCTTCCTGCAGCCTGGTCTCTGCCAACATCTCTAGCAGCCAGAGGAGAAGATGTAGGGGGAATAAATGAGTGGCAGAAATGACGGTTGGGGAGGGGTGTGATATGCCTATATTGGACAACTGTTGCCAATATGCAGTTTTGTGTGCTGATGACAGAAGTGGAATATGCACAGAATTTAGAGTAAATGACAACCCACAGTGGTGAAGAGGTCAGAGTGGAAGTTACAGCTCAGGCAGCACAGGGTTCATTGCCAAACTCTGTACATAGAGACTCCAGGCACCATGACAACTTCAAATCATGAAGTGCTCATGGGGCTTAGAAGACACAATTAAAAGACAACCCAAAACCAGCAAATTCTGTTAGTATTATATTGAAAGTATTATAATAAGGCATGTTAGATATTACTAAATCATTTTTTTTATTGATAATGCTCCACTGCATATAGGCATACCCACAGAAAATAGATAATTTTTCAATTTTTTTTTTTTTAAATGTAAAAATTGCTAGCTTACACTGTGTTAACCACCAACATATGAACCATCAGGAATGTAAAAATAATTATAATTTTAGGTAAAAAAAAATAAAAAATTAAGAGAATAGTTAATTTTCACAGTTTGACTATTTTTAGCCTAAAATTCACCCTTTATTAAATAACCATCAGGGGTGTATTTATTTTAATTTTTTTTTTTTTACAAACCTTGCTAGTTACAGTTTACTGATAACATATAGTGAATGTGATCCTATGCTGGTCCTGTGACAGATTCCCATCAGACAGAGCTGATAGCACACATCACACAGGGTCAGCCAAGAAAACAAAACAAAAATAACAAATTAGAGGGAACTCGAGTAATATGTAATTGTGGAGCCTCCCATACACCGAGCTTGCTATAGACATTGATATTCCACTATCCGTTTAGCAGTTTGACACCGAATTCCCCCTCTCACCTTGCCTTACCCACCGACCTCCAGATAGCCGGGTGACTGCAATGGCCGCCGATATGGACGTCACTCGCAACTTCCGGCCGTCAGACAGCCAGCCAATGACAGCGCGGAATCCATAATGCCATCTAGCCAATCAGCGAGGCCGTGTCACAGCGCAGCCGAGTAGCGAGGGGGATTGGCTAGATTATGTTTTTTTTTCCCCACGTGACCGCCGACCAATAGAAAAGCCGGGCTGTGTTTTCGCGTAGTGACGTCACGTTATTAGCTGGCTATGGATCAAGCTGCTGCTTTTACAGCTACGTCGGAAAGTACTGTCCTCGCTTTACGGCGGCTGCGGCGGGGTTAGGGTGTACCAAGATGGGCGCTCGGAAGTGACGCCATCATACCGGAAGCGCCTCACACTAGGTTCTTCGGGGGTGATGGCTCCGCCGCTGTCCCGGTGGTGCCTGGTGTAGGCCGACAACATGGCGGAGCCGCAGCGGGAGGCCGCTGATCCTGTGGGTTCGCCCGGCAGCCTGACTATCCCCGGCACGCGGAGCGGGCCCCCCAGCCCAGGCCTGTGTCCGGGGCCCCGCTCCCCCCGCAGCCCAGTACCGCAGGAATGTGCCGGCCGCAGGGGCTCCAAATGGGTCCGCCTAAACGTTGGCGGCACGTACTTCCTGAGCACAAAACAGACTCTGTGTCGGGAGCCCAAATCCTTCTTATACCGGCTGTGCCAGGAGGACCCCGACCTGGACTCGGACAAGGTGTCTTAACCCTGCTCTCTATATAACCGTGTCTCCCCCTCCCTCCCCATATAACCTTACTCTCTATATAACCGTGTCTCCCCCTCCCTCCCCAAATAACCCCCCCCTCCCCATATAACCTGCTCTCTATATAACCGTGTCTCCCCACTCCCATATAACCACCATCTCGCAACCGTGTCTCCCCCCTCCCCATATAACCCTGCTCTACTTCAACCTACTTTCTCTGCTAACCGTGCCTCCCCCACTCCCCATATAACCTTCTCCTATAACCGTGTCCCCTCCCCCATATAACCCTGCTCTCTATATAACCGTGCCTCCTCCCAAATGCGCCCCCCCCTCCCCATATAACCCTGCTCTCTATATAACTGTCCCCCCTATACCTGGACTCGGACAAGGTGTCTCCCCCTCCCTCCCCAAATATTACCCCCCTCCTTCTATACCCGGACTCGGACAAGGTGTCTTAACCCTGCTCTATATATAACCGTGTCTCCCCCTATAACCCTACTCTCTATATAACCGTGTCTCCCTCCCCCTATAACCCTGCTCTCTATATAACCGTGTCTCCCCTCCCCAAATATAACCCCCCTCCCCCTATACCTGGACTCGGACAAGGTGTCTTAACCCTGCTCTCTATATAACCGTGTCTCCCCCCTCCCTCCCC